GCAGTCTTGAAGAAGAAGACACGATCGCCGGGACAAGAGCTTTATTAGCCTGACGTTTCGGATTCCTGCTCGAATCCATCATCAGAGACATAAGCAGATAAGGGTGGTTCATGCACATGTGGCTGCAGTATTTATAGGATGCAGTAGCCATGCCACCGCATACCTATGAATGTTCACGGCTCCCTCCCCTTCATCAGGGATCGTTGCACGTGGCGTGATGGTCGATGTTCGCGTCGTTAATTGCTGCAATTTCATCACGTGCGTTGGATGTTGGTGTGATGCTTGCTCGACCATCTGACGCGCTGACCCGGGTGTTGGGAAGAGTGTTCATCAGGGCGCTCCCCGCGTGGCCAATTTCTCCGCCTAGACGAAGTCTCAGCACGCTGTATTGAATGGGAAGATCATTGCACTTGTTAATAGACTGGGGGCCAGTGAACCATAACTCAAGCAGCTCCCGGCTCACGCGGTTGTCACCTCTTGCGAGAATTTCGGCCTCGTCAAATTTGAATGTGTGGCCGGAACCCGTCGAATGAGCCGCAACTTGAGAGCTGGCGTCATTTCTCCGCACTGCTGCAGCGTGTTCGGCCATTCGCGTTTGGAGCTGTCTTCCGGTTTCTCCGACGTAGTTGCTTTGTCCGCAACTGCACCAGATCCGATAAACGACTCCAGACGTTTCTAGCCGTGGCAGTGGGTCTTTCGGTTTCATGATCAGACGCCTGATGGTTGCCTCTGGCCTGTGTGCAACTCCAACCCCCAGCGGTGCGAGAAGGCGGCCAACAGCTTCCGAAACGTTCTTGACATATGGAAGCGCTCGCCAAACTTTGGTGTCCCTGCGGTTAGGCCTTTCGTCCATTTTGCGTATGCACCGGTTGACAAAGTTGCTCGGGTAGCCATTGGCTTTGAATACCCGTCGGAGGTATTGTAGTTCAGCAATCTTGTCTTCCGGCTCACTGCAGTGTGTTTCGACACGCCGATAGAGCGTCCTTACACAGCTGCGTTTGTGACTGATTGGGTGGTTGCTGTTGAAGTTCAGTACTTGCATCGTATTTGTCGCTTTCCTGAACACTTTGGTCTTTAGTCCACCACAATCCTTGCGGCATACGAGGACATCCAGGAAGGCCAGCTGGTTGTTCTCTTCCTCCTCCATCGTAAATTGTATGTCCGGGAAGATCGCATTCAGACGTTCCTTGAATGTCAGCAGTTGATCCCGATCGATAAAGACGAAGGTATCATCCACATACCGGGCCCAGAGCGTCGGTTTGTGGTGTTGGAAGACCAGCGACTCTAACCGTTGCAGGACCGCCTCGGCGATGAATCCCGAAATCGGCGAACCCATTGGTGTGTCCTTCACCTGTTCGTAGATTGTCCCGTCGAACGTGAAGTACGTCCTGAGACAGAACTTCAGGAGCTGAAGGACTTGGGCGCGTCCAAGACGATTCTCCGTTTCATCGTATTTGCTTTGCAGAAGCAGCTCGATTGTCTCGATTGCCAGGTCCTGGGGAATAGAAGTAAAAAGGGGTGTAACATCAAAAGATACCATGACCTCATTTGGCTGGAGGCTTACCCCTTTGAGTTTCTCCAGGAATTCTGCTGACGAAGAGACCGTGGTGTCTGACTCAGCGGTCAGGAACTTGAGACGCCGGAACAGCCACTTAGCCAGTCCGTACGTTGGAGTACCTTTGAGCGACACGATGGGTCGGAGAGGAGCGCCGTCCAGCATAATTCTTTAATGATCCACTTGCCTTCTTTCGAACGATCTTATTTCCGACTACATGCAAGACCTATACTCTGCAAAAAACGACTACTTAAGTAGCATGCAATTTTCTCATTGATTTTCGATGCCCTTAAAAGTTCAATTGTATTTCA